TAGGATCCTTTATATTCATCAGTTACTTTAAATTTCTCATCTGATAATTCCAATGTTCCTGATGTATCTGACTCTGGTTCTGATTCTTGCTATCTCTTAAAAGTGTGGGTTTTTTTCCTCTTTCTTTTAGTAAGGACAGGAACTGTGTAAATAGGTGTCAGTAATGTGGTGGTAAGGTGTGGGGAAGAGGAAGCTGTTCTACAGATCTATGATTAGGTCTAGTGCTGTGTCTAATGCTTTGCCATGGTTAGGCCATTTCATTGCCTCTTATTTTAATTTCTGGCTGTTGGGAATCTGTAATCCTGTTTTTGGTATTAGCCTGGGGTCTACGAGAATCATGACCTTAAAAATCAAGAAGGATATAGGATTTCTCATGACATACAGCAGCAAATATTATAACTTAAAACTTCGAGGTTCATAAAACTAATTCATTTTGCTACCGTTGGATGAGAAGCTTTAGCCCCAGGAACTATCCAAGTTCAGCATTATTGGTTAATATTAGCTCGGGCATTTTGTTTTCTACCATGGTGGACACAGACAAAGCAGGGGGCTTTCCTTGCCAGCGGGTTGCGTAGAACACACTGCCAGTCTCTTTGGGTCACCATGACTTCTGATGCCCAGGTGAAAGTACTAAAGAATTGTGTGCCTGGGCCAGGCTTTTGAGCCAGTTCTCAGCCTTCGAGGAAAAGTATGTATCCCAGAATTTCTCTTTTTTCCTCTAAAGAAGAATCTTTCACTAGAGGAAAGTCAGAATTTAAAAACTGCAGAAGAAAGACAGAAATCCCATATAGCTGAGGTCTTGAAGCAGACTGCTAAGAAAGGAGTGCTTCAGAAAGCAGTAGAAGAACAGCTGCAGTAAAATTCCCTACTCTGGGACTGGTTCTCAAGGTTTCCGCTTGTAGTTCCCTGCTCCAGCAAGGTGGATTCTCTGTATTTGCCTGTCTGTCCTCCAATTTTTGTGGAAGCAATTTGTCCTTTGACCTCAATTCTCTGATCGATCTAAGCAGAGCTGTTGATTTTCAGTTTGCTCAGCTTTTTATTTGTTGTTAGGACAAAGTGACAACTTCCAAGCTACTTACATGCTGGACTGAAAATATAGAGCAATTTAAAAGGGCGAGTAGAAGAGAAGACAGTGTGGTTAAAAAGGGGTAAATTCTTCAGGAGCGAAATTGGACAATTTCACAAATGATCACTGAGGCATTCTACAAAAACATGGTCATCAATGGATAGAACGCAACAGCTTCCTGTGGTTTAAACACTTTGAAGAGAGAAGGGGATTTTCCACATGTGTGCTTGCTCTAACCACTCAGTAGGCAATTCAGCTTAGAGACATTTCAGCTCAAGAGAGCTAAGAAACAAATAAGTCATTTGAATAAATAAAAGATTCAGCTATTGTATTAGTACATTATATTTGGATAAACGTTCTTATGAAAAGGATAGGCCTGGATAGAATTGCTTCTTTACTCACGGTTTAATTAAATTCATTCATTTATTCATGTAACAAACTGAGTCCTTAGGATATGTCAGGCACTGTGCTAGAAACAAAATTAAGAACATTGTTCCTGCCAGCAAGTCACTTAAGCTATTCAGAAAGACAGGCACATAAATGGGAACTTAGAAAATAATGTGGCACATAAAATGATAGCGACGTATACCATGTTATAGAAAGGTAAGAAGGGACACCCAATTCAGCCTGGAGAAGGAAGAGGAAAGAAATCAGGAAAGGCTTCCAGAACATAAGTAGTACCTGAACAAAATATTAACAAGCCTGGCTTCTTCCCCTATAAATCTCACAGACTGTGAATAATGTTTTTTGTTTGTTTGTTTCATTCCTCTTTTCACCAAGTCCTAAGGGCTGTGAATCCCAGAGATAAGAACTTGAAATAACTGGATAAAGTAACAGGGCAGGAGTATTTCTATAAAAATGATGAGATGTCTCTAATAAGCAGGAGACATGACATGGAGCATTGTGCAGCATTACAGAGGTATTGCAGTGTTCGAAGCCTCTGCAATGTTTGTGCATTATGGCTGGAGTGAGGCCGCTTAGGTTTCTGATCAAAAAACATATCGGGCATCAGGAAGTAAATACTGCCACGATGTGGTGATGTTTAAGTGACATTTTGTTCTTCAGACTCTAGTTCTCCAGAACTAAAGAGCTTCTGCAATCACTCACACATCTACAGTAGATTTTACATTAGAACTGGAAAGTGGGTGCTAGGACAAAACCTCAAGATCATAGTGTGGAAACCTCTTATTTCACAGAGGAGGAATCTGAGAGGAAATCTGCCTGCCTGAGGTCATGCAACTATTTAACACTGAGATAAAACCAGAATGCAGTTCTAGATCATTTATTTATTCGTTAAAAAAACCTGAATATCTAAGTGAGAGGCTATGTTCTGGGTACAGATTACAAAATTTATACTCACTGATACTTCCCTACTGTCCCCCACCAACTTCTTGCCACAAATACCATACAGTTTTATGAATACTTTAGATGTATCTTCGAAATATACTTTTAATAAAACATAATCACCATATTGCTGCATTCAACAATTTGCTAATATCATAAAATTTCTAGCAATATTGAAAGTATCTAATTATTATAGATGAATTTGATTGTGCAAATTAGATCCAAATCAGACCTAGTAATGCTATACATTAAAAGTATCTTCACTGCCATTATTTATTGAGGAAACAAGATCATTTTCTAGTAGAATTCCCCACTCTGAATTTTGCTGATTGCAACCTTAGGTTTCACTTAACATATTCATCCATCTTCTGATTGATTGATTGATTGATTACCCCTAAAAACTAGTACTTACATCTAGTGGCTTGTTCAGATTCAGGTCCGATTTTTTGACAAAAATACTTCATAGGTGGTTTTGTGTCTTACTTATCACATTACTTCAGGGCCATGTAATGTCTGGTTGTCTTTCTTTTTGTGATGTTAAGATTAATCAGCAGGCGTTGTCAACTGATCCATCCATTATAAAATGCCGAGGGTGCTATGTTAGATGGGGTGTTCAGACAAGGCCTTTCCGAGGAAGTGACTTTTAAGTTGTGGCCTAAAGGATGAAAAAGAGCCAGTTATGCAGAGTAGAGGAAGAATGCAGCAGGTGGGAACCCTGAGGTGAGAAAGAGCTTGCCATAGACTCCGCCGCCCCTCTCAGGATCAGCAGAGCTTTTCTTCCCATTCTCCACTATGCCCAGTAGATCTTCCAATCTCCGAAAGGTGAAAGCAGGAAACCCTCCCTCTAGAGGTGTCAGGAACCCAATGGCACTTTCAGGTGCAGGTAGCCGCAGGTACATAATTTTGCTCTCCTGAAAATGCTTAGGAGCACTAGGACTGTTTTGACTTAGACTTAGAGACCCAGGTGAGAAAATAGCCTGCTCTCTCATGACACAAACCAACCCGCCCTTTTATTGGGCATGATGGCATGGCAGAAGTGTGCTTCTCAGGGTACGACTTCCTTGCTCAAGTTACATACTATTCTTTTCTGGAATGTTCTCTACCATACTTAAAAGAGTTGTGGTTCAACTTTCTCCTCTGCAAAATGAAGAAAGTATCAAAATGTCTCGCAGGGTTGTGGCAAAGATTTATTTTTGTTTATAAAGCCAGACACTAGTTAAAGAGGTAAAGACAGATTTTAATCAGTAGTATATTACTATAACAGAGAAGAGAGTCCAGGGTGAACTGAACTCAACCTCCATTTGTACAGAGGAAACTGGACTTTTTAAAGGGAGAATAAGGGAATAGAGAAGAGGTTGAGGGGGTCTCAACAGAGGAAGAGCACTGAAAAATTACAAAAAGCGGGAAGAGGGGTTTGGTTCGTGTGAAACTCATCTGGGTTTGCTAACTGGTATTTACTTAAGTTAGCCTCCTCCCCTCCCACAGGTGCTGGGAGGCAGGGGCCCTATCTTCAGATGTTGCCTGGAACCAGAGTCAATGTTTTTTGACAACCTTGGGTTTTCTCAGGCAGGCAATTAAAGGGGTGCTAGAATCAGCCTAGGGATGAGGCCTTGAGAAACTATGTTAGTGTTTGTTCAAGTCTTTTATACGCCAAGGTTGACAGGCTTAGTCAAGAGGAGGACTCAGAAGAGTTGGTCGAGAGTGTGGTCAAGGAGAGAATCTCTGCCATTTGTTATAAGAATTAACTGAGATGTTGGCTGTGAAAGTGCTTGTTGGACTATAACACAGCACATTAACATCAATTGACATGTTCTTTCATATAAAACCAATCATATTCCTTCTCCTCCTTCAAAATTCTTGTTAAAATTCTCCCTTACACTGAGCTTCCACTTCTAAACATGCTGCCACTCAGTGATAACACCTACTCTATGTGCCGTACTATATTAACACCTTCTATACTTTACATACATCGTAAGATTTCCTTCAAATGACTCTTTAGGAAGTATTACTTTACAGAAGCTCAGAAAAGTTAGGAAATTAACTAAGGTTCACACAGCCAGTGAGTGGCAGAGGCCAGATTCATATTCAACTCTGGTGTTAGCTGGTTCCATTAAAGAAATTCCTTTCACCTTTTAAATGGTTCAATTAAAAAGAAAACCAATTTATTCTTAAAACACTGGACATGTTCATCGCTCAGAAGATTTTTAAAACAAGAATCTCATACATATGAGCTCTCATTCAAACCAGATTCTAAGATATCTAGAAGGGCCTGAGTCAAGTTAGGCACTTTTCAGCTTATGAAATATTTCTTCAGCACCACTATATGTCATAGCAAGATATTTAAGCCATTGCACCTGCCCGTGGGGAACGAGGGAAAAGGACACAAAATAGTAAATGCTAGACTGTGCAGTCCAGGAAAGAGATCAACAATGAGTTAGGACAGTAGGAGAAGGTTTTACGAGTGATTGGAACTGAGCTCCACCCTTAGGGATATTGATACTGAGAAGGAAACAGAGGGACATTCCAGGGTAGAAGGTGGGGAGCAAGAGTGGTAGGAGCTTATATACCTTTCAAACTCAGTGTATATACTGTCACAGAGCTTGAGCGACCGACATCTCTGTTTATCCGCTGACATTATCGTAGAAGGAAGCTATCTCAGAAGTTTAAATTTCTGAAGTAGGAACGGCTGGCTGGTCGATGAGCGGGAAAAGGTAATCCACGCGGGCGATCCCACCGCCTCTGGCGCCCCTTAGCGGGACTGCATTCCCACGACCTGAAACGACGACTTAGATGCATAACCATTCGCCTCTCTACAACGCTTCCCCAAACTAAGATTCCGGAGGGGGCCGCCACCTGTACCCACGCGCCGCGCACGCGCGAGGCCCTTCTTCGCCGCACAAAGACTGCGGAAGGAGGTTTGGCGCAAGCGCTCTAATGCTCTCTGAAAATAGGGTTATCATCGCGCCTCCTGGCGCAGGAAGAACAAGGCGACGCATGCGGCGTGAGGATGCGCGGGACTTATTTCACGCTGGGGGCCGCGGTGACGTAATGACAAGGAGGCGGTGGTCAAAGAACGGAAGCCGGGAGGGAACCTGGGCGGAAGGGGACCACGGCCAGGCTTGTGTTCGGTCCCTTGGCAGGGCTGGGGTTCCGATGTGGTCCCCAGAGCGGGAGGCCGAGGCCCCTGCCGGGGGAGACCCGGCAGGTCTTCTGCCCCCCGAGTGGGAGGAGGATGAGGAGCGCATGTCCTTCCTGTTCTCTGCCTTCAAAAGGAGTCGCGAGGTGAACAGCACCGACTGGGACAGCAAGATGGGCTTCTGGGCGCCGCTGGTGCTGAGCCACAGCCGCCGCCAGGGGGTGGTGCGCCTGCGTCTGCGGGACTTGCAGGAGGCCTTTCAGCGCAAGGGCAGCGTCCCGCTGGGGCTGGCCACGGTGCTGCAGGATCTGCTGCGGTGAGGGCGGGTCCGGACCCGGAGCGGGGGCGGCTCCCTGAGGGCAGGGGCTTGGCGGGTTCTCTGACAGCGCCCAGCGCCCGGCCTAGGGTCTGGCCCAGAGCGCCTCTGTTCAGTAGGGGAAAAAGAAGGAAGACAAGAAGAAGGCTGGGGTAGGAGTGTTCGGAGGGAGAGGGACACTGGGTATGTGGAGAATGGGCGCGGGGGCGGGGGTGGGGGCAAGGTAGTCGGATTAGATGAGATCCACATGGTAAGGGGCGAAGACAGCTTAGTAAAGGTAACAGTGATTTGCCTGGACAGTGATTTGTTTAGACCTAGTAGAGGTACTTGTGGAATCCCATTATGTAGTTATTAAGTTAGGCCGTCTAAATTTGAATTACCCCGGAATAGAAGGTCTATAAGATAAGATTTATTGAACTAAGGAAAGTCAGAGCTGGGAAGAGGCCAAATCGTAGGGATCCTGCCAACATCCCCCAGCAGAGGTCGTGTGCCGGGCCTATCTTGGCTTGTCCTTGGCACAGGTTGTTTGGAACAGAGGTTATGAAGGAGGGTGAGGGCTTTACTGAGTTAACTTGGTGCCCCGAGAAGGTTATGAAGCAGGGTGAGGGCTTTACTGAGTAACTTGGTGCCCCGAGAAGGCACATGTAACCTGTGTTACATGTGCACTGTTTTGGAGTACCTGAAGCATAGATATCTAATGGATGTACAGCACTGCGCAGTGTGCAGATAGTTTGCATACACCATTTCATCTGATCCTCAGTAGTCCTGTGAGCAAGATGTAGAGTTATCCACAACAGACAGAAGAGGGAACAGCCTCAGAGAGATCAAGTGACCTACTTGGAGTTACACAGCTAGTTAGAGGTAATGCCAGGACTGGACCCTGGTCTTCTGATTCTAAATCATTTGCACTTCGCATTGTATATATCATACCGAAAGCAGCCTAGCTAGCCTAGTGCCTCCCTCAGCGAATGAAAGAGAAAGTCCACTTTGATACATTTGTTTTAGCTTGTTGCTCTTTCTGATTAGAAAGTCTTCCTTGTCTCTGGTACCTTTCCAATGGTTGACATTGATGGGACAAGCCATTTCTGAAACTTCTCTTTTTTGAGCAAGTGTACTATGGACAAAGTTTTCAGACAGTAGCTGAAGAGGTCAGTGAGGGACAGCTTTGCTTGAGGGCCAAGTGGCCTGGGCTCAAATCCTGGCTCTGCTACTTGGTAAATTCTGTAACCATGTGCCCTCTTTTAGCTTCAGTTTGACCAGTTCGAAAATGGTGATGATAACTGTACCTAGGTTTATTGTGAGGATTTGAAGAGACATTCCTTGCATAGCCCTTAGCATGGTGACTAGCCCAGGGCGAACAGTAAATGTAGCCACTTACTGCCAGTACCATGAAATGCCTGTGCCTTCTTTCCACCCTAGCTTGGGAATAGCAGAAAACCCTTTCTTTGAATTCTTTGTATTCTTCCTTATGGCTTGCACTTGAGAGTGATCCATTATTGTTATTTCCTTTTTTTCGTTTTGAGCTCCATTTGTAAAAGGAAGCCTCTTCATAGGCCCTGCACCCTCCATTGTAGTAGTAGTGGAGAGCTTGTGTTTTGGAGCCAAATTAGTGTTTAGATTTGGCCTCTTTCGCCTTCTCGGTCTCTCAGTTTTCTCATTAGCTAAAATGCCAATAACACATCTATCTTGCAAAGTTGTGAGGCTTAGAGCTGGAGCATAGATAGTGCCGCTCATAGTTGCTGGCACAAAGTAGGTGCCTAATAAGTGGTGTTTACGCCGATGATCAGAACCTCTTTTGAGGTAAGGGGGATGGGGGGACTTGAATGAGACATCGTATTAAGCCAACTGTGTGCCCTTTACTTTCTTTGCAGTCGTGGAGAGCTGCAGCGGGAGTCAGACTTCATGGCCAGTGTAGACAGCAGCTGGATCTCCTGGGGGGTTGGA